AGTGCTAGAAAAAATAAAATAAAAATATTATAGAATGAAATGGATAGACTGAGAGTGGGTGAGAGTGGGTGACAAATGAAAGAAGTGAAGGATAAGGAAGCAAATGAATCCTGACCATTTATTTTTCTCATGTTAGCATTCTTGATGATTAATGGCTTAGGTCATTAACACAAATGGTATCTTGTGTATTTGACTTTTATGTTCTGGTTGAGTGCTAGCAACTATTAGTCACTAAATAGCTACTATTTGTATCAACTACCCTTTGTTTTGTTTTTTCATGGTTTTACTGCATGTGCTCTACTCTATGTCTAGGAACATTTTCACCTTTATACAACATTAGTTGGATGTAATGCTTTCCCATGTCAGACCACATGTCATTCCCTAGAGTATCATTTCTTTGTTTAACAGTTGTGCACAAGAAGACACATGAATGTGAAAACAAGTCAAACAAAGAATCTTATTCTCAAGAGAATGACACCTGGTCTGTAATGGGAAAACATTACGCCCAGGGTAAAGAGGTCTATTACTCTGTCTTCTCATGTGCAACCATTAAACAAAGAAATGATACTCTAGAGAATGACATGTGGTCTGAAATGGAAAAACATTACGCCCAAGGTAAAGAGGTCTATTACTGTCTTCTGATTTGCAACAATTAAACAAAGAAATGATACTCTAGGGAATGACATGTGGTCTGAATGGGAAAACATTACGCCCAAGGTAAAGAGCTATATTACTCTATCTTTTGATTTCCAACAGTTAAACAAAGAAATGATACTCTAGGGAATGACATGTGGTCTGAAATGGGAAAACATTACGCCCAAGGTAAAGAGGTAATATATATAGCTACCGGGTTTTGCAGTCTAAGAGTAGTTAGCCCCTCACTCATAGATTAATATTATAAGTGATTATATTAGAAGTGTGAATAATCCACTGTCTACCTGATCTCTTTAAGTAGAGCTACTGTCCATGATGAGGTTAATCTTCTCTCCAGCCATTCAAGACACTTTTTTTCAACCTCAGTTTCACCATACTGCCGAGCTGCAGAAATGTATTCACATACTGTGTGGTTATTTATAGTATCTTGCATGAATTCAGCACATTGTGAGCTCAAGGATTCCTGTAAACCAAGAAATTTTGTCAATTTTGGCATTGAAACCCTCGGGGGGGAAGGTACTCCCATATACAGTGTATAGACTATACGGGGACAATCCGCTGAGCAGGGTATGGTTTTTCAAGCTTCTTGTCATAAACAGGGTATGCAATTTCGCTCAAGTTCCATTTTTTCCCCTGAGTTTTCTGTCATATTCAGGGTTTCTACTTTTGTATTGACCAAAACTGGTTACTATGGTCTTCAAAAAACGATACCGATACGTGAGCTGACATGGTAATTGAAACAGGGACTCAGTGCAATTAAATATATCTTTCGTCATAAACAGGGTCTACAAATTTGGTTTTTTTTGTCATAAACAGGGTACCCCTTTCAGAACCCCAGCGGAACACCCCTACCCAAATCCTGGCGGAGTACCCCCCCCCCCCCAGGATTGAAACGTCAATGCCTCTGTAATCGAACATACCAGCTGTAAAAGACATGCCACCGCCAGCAGTGGTATAACCTCTGTTTGCGATACTGTAACTTCATCTCTGTATAAGGACCCAAGAGCTGTGTCCATGGCTATGAGAAAAGATCGTAAAGCATTCATTTTTAGTTCAAATCTATCAGAGTTAGTATCAACTTGAGTATGGACTGTGGAATAGGTGAGATTTGGAGTTTAAAGACAACAAAATAAATTCCCCTTTTCAGACTACATACATTCATTCCCTAAATTACCATGATTTTTTTGTTTAAGAGTTCTACATGAAACAAGTTAAAAGCTATAAATATTAATAATTACACTTTTTTATTTGGACATAAATTTACAGTCAACTCTCTTCGAACGACCACTCTCATAAGCGACCATCTCCCATAAGCCACCACTTTTTGAGTTTCCTGTTTTGTTTCCCATATAAACTCTGTAAAAAAACTCTCTCGTAAATGACCACGACCACCTTTGGGTTTAAAATTTTGGAATTTTTCATTGTTTTTCCTCTCCCATAAGCTACCACCCAAGAGCCAGTCAATGACAGATCCTTTAACAATAAAAAATTTAAGAACATAGAGTCATCGGGTATTAAAAACCCGATGAAATATTGGCAATTACACTACAGCTGTAAACATATAGCACATTCAAAATTTTGAATAAAACAGTTTAATCGTTAATACAGTAGTTTTTACACATGAGTTACAAAATTATAAAGGGTTTAGGCTTCCTGTGTTGGGATTCCCATTGTTTGGGCTTCCTGTGTTAACTCTTGTAAGCGACCATCTCCCATAAGCGACCACTTTCTCCTGGCCCTGAGCCCGGGGGTGGGGTACTCCCCTATATTTGCTATATGGGTATGTGCTGCCCTATAGGGTATGGTTTTTCGGCTTTTGGGTCTAGGGTAGGCTATCATGTTTTGACATTTTGTCTGGGATAGGGTATCATTTTAGTCTGGGATAGGGTTAACGATTTGGTCATTTTTGTCTGGCGAATAGGCTACGCTTTCTGCCGGCACAAAAACAATTAAAACATTAGTAAATATTGATTGCAATCGATTGTAAGACCGTATTTTCCGTCTTTTAGTCTGGGATAAGGTGTACAATTCTTAGTTTTAGTCTGGGGTAGGGTACGTAAAATCAAAATTTTAGGTCTGGGATAGGGTCAGGGTTTTGAGGTCCTGGCGGCACACCACTACCCAAGTTGGGGTGGTAGTACCCCTCCGGGGCCCTGAGGTGGTCACTTACGGGAGAGTCGACTGTATGTCAAGCGACAAAATATTGCTCATCAAGTCATTAGTGTTTCAAGATGAACATCTATGTGGAGCAACACATATTTCTCACAGTGGACATAAATTTATGTCAAGCGACAAATATTTCTTATGGTGTAGTAGCTTCTTCTTCAATAAAATTCAAAAGCATCTCAAACATATATATTTGGAACAGTGATGTTGTCATTGAGTTCATGAAACTGTACATCCCTAGTCACGGGTAATCCACAACCGGCAGAACAAAGCCTGGGAGTGGATGAACAAACAATGAATGGTGAGATAAAACAAAGAACGCAGCGCACATGTAGAACAATACGCATTGTTCACCTTAATCCATGCTTTCTTTGTTTTTGTTATTTTGTCCAATCCCAAGCTTCGTTCTACCAGTAGACACCGACCCCTAGTCACTTTTAAAGTAAATAGAGATAATAAGTGCAAAAGTGAAAATTAATATAACTGATAACTTGTTATGCCATATGAATCATGGAAAAACAAAAAACAAACAAAGAATCTTATTCTCAAAAGAATGAAAAGTGACCTGGAATGTTAAAACATTACACATAAGGTAAAATGCTCTGTTTTTTCTTTTTCTTCTTCTTCTTTTTTTAAACAGGTATATTGGCCTTCAAGTTTCTCAATGAACAAAATAACAATTTTAAAGAAAAAATAATAATA